AATGCCCTGTACCAAAACACAAAAGGCATCATTCAAATAACAATCTCAAAAAAAAAAAAAAAAATATTCAAGCAGTTTTACTTTTTTTTTTGGAATATCCATTTTTTACTTTTAGATTCATCCAATTAACTGCAACGGGCCAGGCCACTTATTTAATATTTAAAGATATTCAGAAAAAGGATAAGATATTACCATTTAGATACATATTCCACTGAACAAGCATTGTTCCTTAACAACACATAGTACTTTTAAGTAATTAAAGTAAATAATAATCAATCCGCAAAATTAACAACAATAAAAAAAATATTCTGAAAGAAATCTCTTATGCTTACTTAGGCTGCATTTACTTAATCAAAATGACAGGAAAACAGTAATATTGTGAAATATTATAACAATTTAAAATAACTTTTCTATATTAATATATTTTAAAGAGTCATTTATTTCTGTGAATTTTCAGCAGCTGTTACTCCAGCCCTCAGTGTCCTGAGGTATTGAGTGTCCAGTGTATTGATTTCTGTAGGATCATGATCCTACAGAAATCAATATAGTATGCATATTTGGTGCTCAAGAAACATGTTTTATTATTGTCAATGTTGAAAACAGTTGTGCCGTTTAATATTTTTGTGGAAACGGTGCTGCAATTTTTTCAAGATGCACTTTGTTGAATATAAAGATCAAAAGAGCATTTATTTTAAATATTTTTTTTTGCATTATAAATGTATTTACTGTCACTTTTGATCAATTTCATACATCCTTGTAGAATAAAAGTATTAATTTCATCAACGGTTCAATGAATCCTTCTGTGCCAGTAAATTGAACCGGCTCTGAATAAGCACCATTTCCCTCGACTGTCAACCCTAATAGCAATTGCTGAAGTGTAATTACATTGTTTTTATGTAATCTTAAATTCAGAATTTACCTTTAAAGCTGTGGCTGCTTTCTTCCATTCAGGAGTCAAATTCTTACAGTGTCCACACCTTAAAAAAGAAAAACAATAAGATGTCAGATACTGCACATAAACATCTGAACACAATCATGAAATGTGGTATAATAATGATGCTCACGACTGTATTATGCATCATATGCAAACTAAAACTACTGGCATGTAAATCATGATGCAAATAAAGTGCCTGAAATATTAGAGAAGAATAACTAAACTATGTATGCTTTCAACAATATACTCTCATTACACCGTGTATATACTGCTTAGAAAGCAATCGATTGGGCTGATTCAGCACCAGCATTTCAGACAGTAACCTGATCTGTAACTACAGATCTAGAGCTCTCTGTGAGTGACACCGTGGTTCCACAACACGCTTCCAACTTACCAGGGGGCATAAAACTCGACCAGCCAGAGACTGTCACTCTGCATGACTTCCCTGTTGAAGTTGGAGGGGTTGAGCTCAACCACATCATCACTGGCAGAGTAGAGACCGTGGACAGAGAGTACAGTCAGAGAACACGCCAACACACCTGAGAACATACAGATGATAAAGAAGGAGCATCAGTACTGGTGCATCAGGTGATTTCATCAGCTTTATTTAAAAAGCAATGCTGCACCTTTCTGTAAAATCAAGAACCACAGGATGAAACATTGCATATGGTTAATAACAAACAGAGCTTTCTACTTCCAGACTCTAAGCACATACAAGAGATGATTGCAGAATCTCAATATGAACTGTGACTAATTATTAGTCTCCAATTGTACAATACGAAGATGAATTTGCTGTAATGTAAAGGCCCAACCACCATTACTCACTCTGCACGTTTAACTATACTATAACAGCTGTGTCTCGTTTGGAAGGCTGCATACGTCATCGAGACTGTCTCATTTCAGGAAAGCGAGTAGGACACTCCGAATGCGACCTTCTTTCACAGGAATTCGGAGGATGCATGAGGTGTATCCTTCGCTGCTACAGATAACCCACAATTCTTTGCGTCGCCGTGAACAACCGTTGTTAATTTGAAAAATGTCAGCGTAACGTACACACAAGCGCAGATGTAGTGTTTACAACTTACCTTAATTCGCCTCGGTAAAAACGGATAAACTTTGTTTTTAATATCCTCCTCCTTTTTTTCTCTAATAGATGCCTGCTGTAGGTACGCTGCAGCTCCTCAAACATTTAACAAAATAAAACAAGTAAAAGCATTTTTTTTCCAAATTACTTTCCAAACTTAGAAAATCATTTTCCTTCATTTAAGTAGTGTGAGAGCGCAACGATGCTCTAATGTGTTGGCATAGCAACGTGATACTTCCGGTTTCCTTTTCAGCCTGTCCTACGAAGGCCGTCTCGTTTAATTCTAGGTTGAGGACACTTCGTATATGCATCCTACAGAGGAGTCGACCTCCGGAGGGTGCAGCCTTCTAAATGAGACACACTCAATGTTACATTTATGCATCCAATGTAAACAGAAGCTTTCTAAAACACTCCCTCATACTGCAATTCTACGTTAACTTAAGTTAGGCTCACAGTTTGCTTGCACACGCATTTGAGTCGATAAAACGCAACTCCACAGCGGAGTTCACGCCTTTTTGTCATTATAACTCACCCAAAAACGCCCGCATTGTTGTTCTCTGTGCCTAATCAATATCTTGTTCAATTCTTCAGGCTGTTCAATGCTGTATGCGCCGCGTGAACTCTCCACCTCACTCACCACATCACACAGCCGGTCTCCAACCAGCAGCGTAACAACACAACACAGTCGTACCGTGGCCTGCGGTGATTGGCGCGCCTCCACCCAGAGACGGGCTCAGCCAATAGGAGCTCGACGTGTAGTTCTGCGCCTCAGTGAAGTATGGTGGCTGGGAGGTAGTACAATTGTTTTATGTGTAATGTACTTAAGTAATTATGTACTATCTCAAATATTATAATATATCTGATATTAATATATCTGATGACATGACGTTGCTATTTAATTTCCCATTGTCCTATTCCCACGCGCCCCATTTTAATGAAAGACAAATGCACAAGCATACTTATTCAAATTAAGATGCAATGATAAATAGTCGCATGGTTAAAGAAAGATTCTAATTTCAGCCACAATATTATAAATATTATACATTCGAACACAAATTAGAGTATAATATATATATAAACGTGTTCTTCTATTAAAGGCACTTTAATGTCCCTGTGGTAGTTTTATTAAAACTAGCCAATTTCAAAATTTGTATTACATAGCGAAAACTATGAAAATATAAGGTAACTGTAAACCTAAACGATCCCAAAATTGATTGTGCACCTGTAGAACTGTTTGAAACACACACACACATACACTCCACACCACAAATCCTAATGTGTGTGTGTTTTGACGGTGTGAACAAAGAGCATATTTGTCAAAAATATGAGACGTGAAGAAACAAAGAAAAATCAAGGTGAAAGTCCCTTTTTGTGTGACATTTCTAATGTCTAAGCTGTGGTTTTGCAAAAAAAATTACACACAAATAGCATGAAAATATAACTATTTGTGATACACAAAATGCCAACTATGAAATTAGCTTAAGCAACACAGTGAGTTGACCATTAAATGTAATTTCCTTCAGAATGTTGTAACATATACAATACTGTGCCTTGAGATTAGGTGGATATGTTCATGACTTTCAGAAATAAATGACTAAAATTACAGAATTTTCCTGTGATGCATGTATAGACACTGTTAGGTTGTAATTAGACAAAATAATTAAACCAATGACAGTGCAACAGAAAGAGGTAAAATAACTCATAATTGAAGAAACACCCCATAAAAAGCCTTCAACAGGTAAGAGTCTCTATGCATACTTGGCAAGTGCCAAACACAAACATTTAATAATATTCTTAACTGACAGATGATCTTATATTTGCCTTAAATCAGCAATAAATTGCATTAAATCAGCAATGCTTGTAAGTGATGCCATCCATTTCAATAACCTGCTTTGTGCATATTGTGCGGGCATCAGGTGATTATCCAGAGATGTTGAAGATCTACTGGATGAAAGCTGACGGTAGGGAAAAGAACAGGAGGCCCAAAAAGATCAGTCCAGTTATGATGAGCAGAGTCACCACTGTTGCCAATTTATACTGCCACCAACACATTATGCAGGTCACCCATATTGGACTCAACAATGACAGGCTGGTAGTCGGATGACTGTGTGAAAGAGAACAGGGTTATACTGTAAACTCTCTCACACACATGCACAGCCACAGTATGGAAACAATAGACATGTTCAGTGTTTTATTTCAATGCGTTAATTTTATTAAGTCTTCATACTGACAAAAATAAATAAATCCATATTGCATTGCACACATGTAAACAAGAATTAAAAATACACTTTTTATATAAACAAGCCAAAATCAGTGCAAACAGGTCCATCGTCAAATTTACCATTCATTAAATAGAGCAACATTAAATAGCAAGCAAAAAAGTACAATGCACACAGCAAGCAAAAACAACAGTAGGAAATGTATGAAATAGCATTCTATTATGTTCTTTAAACTTGAAATGTTCATTCCCCTACTAGTTTCTGTGTTTCTCTAAAGGATAAACAACATTATCTTACTGGAGTGCAGAAGATTTGTGTCATGGACTGAAAGTGCAAACATCAAGGCAAAGTGTAATTAAATTACATACTGTATATATGAGGCCTGCAACCCTATCATAATATTTTTCAGATCGTAGCTACTGATGAACAAGTCATCTTTCTTCAGACAAACTTGCATGCTTATTGTGCTTTTAGCAGCAACATATACACATGTAGACAATAACAACAAAATCCAATCCAGTACTCAGCAATGCATTAATATGAACATATGCCATAAATATATACCAGACACGCTAGTCCAGTTTAGTCAATTTCGTACCAAAAATAGACACTTCACTGCTTTTTTTTCTCCCTATGACCAATTATTCTTGAAATATACAAATAGAAAGATAAATAAGTTAATTGATCTTTTTTGGGTTAGACATGCAAATTGATACTGAAAAAGTTTAATACTTAAAGAATATTTGATACGTTATGCTTAGAGTGCAACTATGAGAGATGGTAAACTCTTAAGATGTTGTTTAAAAATAAAAGAAGTGCTGCAAATTGTAATCAAGTATTAGAAAAGGGCCACTTCAGAGGGCAAGGTCAAATCAGAATTTCTTAAATGAACCTTTTTGACCCCTCTTTAGGCCCCGAGAAGCTTCTTGACCAGATAGCCTGGCATGCTGTAGAGAAACAGGCCCACCATGATCAGCAGCAGCAGAGCCAAGACGATCTTGATGATGAGCCATTTGTAGCGGTTGCATATCAGGTAGCGGATGGCCTTCAGTGGGCTCAAAAACCACAGGAAGGTGGTGTCAGGCCGGCTGTGATTGGAAAAAGTGGTGGTGGTGAAGGGGTTGCAGGTAAGAGGTGGTGAGTTGAAAGGTGAAACCATGGATGATGGAGGAAGAGAGGTAATACAAATGTTAGTGGTTAGTAAGATGATTGCAAAGTTGTAAAATCTCTTTAAGGCATATTATCCATTTAAAACGATAGTTCACTCAAAATGAAAATGTCTTAAGTATCTTTTCAAACCTGTGAACTTTTTGCCAATGCAAATAAAGTAAATTGGGTCCAATGAATATTCCCACTGACTTCCATTGTATAGACACTTTTTACTTCTTTTGTGTTTCACAGAAGAAAGAAAATATCATACAGGTTTGGAACGACATGAGGGTGAGTAAATGATGACAATTTTTCACTTCTGTGTGAACTATCCCACAGAGCTAGTAAAAATGTTCGTCTACGACTCCCACTTATGTGCATGATACTTAAAATTTGTAATGGATTGAGCTCAGAGCAGTACAATGACACATCACGCAACAAAGTGAAGTTCAAAAAGCATAGTAGCAGACAGTCGACTATAAATCTCATAAAATCCATTACTGGGACAGAAAACTGGAGGCAAATGATAACCACAAAGACCTGAAGTACATCATAACACACAGATACGCCGATAAGATGGAATGATAGAGGAATGACAAACTGAAAAACACTTTGTCACCCACAATCCCTCAGGTCCATGTTAGGCCTTTAAAGACAGCGTGAGTTGCAAAAAGACAAGTACATTGTGAATGGCTCAGAGAGAGACTGAAAGCAGAGAAAACAGAGGCAGTGAGAGTGGGCTACCAGTGGTCTTCCCATCTCCCCTCATGCCCCTAGGAGTTTCTTGACCAGGTATCCAGGAATAGAGTAGAGGAAGAGCCCAACGAGGAGAAGGAGGAGTAGCAGGGCCAGAGCCTTCAGGATCAGCCAGCGGTAGTTGTGCCAAATGAAGTATCGTATGGACTTCAGAGGGTTCATGAACCACATTAGACTGGTGTCTGGACGACTTTTTCCAAAACAGGAATGGGGGTTGGAATGAAGGAAATGAACAGGAAAGGATAGGCAGAGGAAAGGGCAGTCACAGGAGGAAGGAAGGATGTGAAAAAGGAGAGTGGGAGTATTAGAAAGGGAAGTTAACCGTTTTAGAGGGGCATTCTTCACTGGAGAGAACACCTCTGACTTAAGCCCACTTTACCTGTCAGTGTTTGTGCCATACCTGTAATTATCTACAGTATTTATATGAGACTCTTTATGTCTCCTTTCTATAGCCGTATAATTAGCACATCATCATCATTTAGACTGGATATCCGAAATACTTAATGTATGCTGGCTACTATGGAAGCCTGTTCCAGCCTCAGAGTAAAAAATAAAAGGGTAATTGTCAATTTATTTCTTGTTATTGCAACTTTATATTTCACAATGTTACTTCAAAAACATTGTAATTTTATACACTGCCATGGGGTCAATAAACTTTTTTTAAGAAATCAATATTTTTATTCAGCAAGGATTCATTAAATTGATAGTATTTTGTAAATTGAGTGACAGTAAAGACAAAAATAGAAAACTGTTATTTTAAATTGTAATAATTTCACAATACTACTATTTTTACTGCATTTTTGATTAAATTAATGTAGCTTTGGTGAGCACGAGACTTATTACAAAAACATTTAAAAAATCCTACTAACCCCAAACAATTAAACGGTAGTGTACCTGCATGCAACTTTATTTCTTATTTTAAACTTAACCTCACAATCACCTTTTTTTTTTTACTCTTGTGGCAGAAATAGGCTTTCATAGTCTACTCTGCAGTATATGAGATATGATATCTTGCATATTTATTAACAAACTGAAAATGCATCATTACTCAGATGTGCTAGGCACCATGTGAGTGGAAGCAAATGTGTGTGTGCATGAGCAGCTTTATGTCTCACTTTGGTTTCTCAAGTGGCTCAGGTTCATTACGCCCAAAGCCGACTGGATTTTTCTCTGCCTCCTCCGCTGTCAATAGATGGAGCTCTGCCTCCACTTTTCCCTGCAAGCATGACATGGTTAGAATGTTAATAAGGCTAATTGATCTTATGCAATCAGTTCAATACACTTCTCAAGCAAATGTAAAATAACATTTGGGTAATAATAATTTTATCTGGCAAAGAAATGCCTGTTTTAATATTTTTAATTAATTTATTTATTGTATTAACTCACTGTAAGCTCAAATTCATCATTCTCATCCCGGGCCACAAATGGCCACCAGCCCTTCACTCTCTTCTGTTTGAAGATGGAGATGGTAGGTAGCTCATGCTCTTTGAGAACCATGTTGAGAGAGCACTGCTTAGCTGTTTTTGCTCCACGGGGAAACTTATTCAAGTCCAGCTCAATCGCACCTGCGAAAATAAACACAGAGAGCATGAAAAATGTCTTTTGTTTTGGAATCAAACACTCAGTTTAAACTTTTAACTGAGCACAATCTTATTTACAATAATTTGTTTATTCTTCAAAGCCAAAATGATCTCGAGTAATTCAAGGAAGTCATAAATATCTAATAATATGTCCTTTTTTTTGTCTTTCTGAATTGTGAACGTACCCAGGAAGTCATCTGCAGAGAAATGGTCAGCATCCCATACTTGAAGGGTGAGTCGAGCAGGAATCTTGTACTCTGTCTCATCCCAGGAAAACATGGATTCCTTCTTAGAGATGACTATCTTCTCCTCAGCCATGAGATAGTCAAAAGGGAAGACAAAGCGCCAGTTGAAGTTTCCTTCCCCAGTTAGAGAGTGATAATGCACGTCTGTGTCCTGTTTATCCTCCTGCTGTCCTTTTAGCCAGCTGAGCAGGGAGATGATTTTCAATTGTTAGAAGCAACACAATTTTAATATTCATACAAAAAGCATATAACAAGCATAGAACACTTATGGTCATCAGTGATTTCTTGTATAATTTGCATGACAAAACATGCAGAAATGTTCTGAACAAAGCGTGCATTTATACAATTGTATAATGTGTGAAATGTACATAAAAAATACTGAATAGACAACATGCATAAAATAGCATTAATACATATCAAGCTGATACTCCAATACTGCTTAAGAAAACTGGAAAAAAGTGAAATAATCAAATTCTACCCCATTGTCATTGCATTTACAATAGATGTTATTGAACATTTGAATGAAGTCCAAAGTATTATTTTTATAATAAAGTGCAAAGAATATGTAGATGATTAATTCATGACATAGAGGAGTTATGTGCTTGTTACTCTTTGATAATATCATTTGAAAAAGTGCATGTAAATCACAGATGCATTCTCTAGAAACAGAAAAGAAAAAGAGATGCCAGACATGACATCTAGTCAGTTTTCTGCACTTAAAGGAATAGTTCACCCAAAAATGAAAATGTGCTGAAAATGTATTCACCCACAGGTCATCCAAGATATAGATGAGTTTGTTTCCTCATTGGAACAGATTTGGAGAAATATAGCATTTTATTTGTTTCTTACAAACACACAACTTTTCAGTTCACAAGATGATAATTGATGAACTGGAGTTGTGTGGATTACTTGTGGATTAATCAAATGTTTTTATAAGCTGTTTTTTTTACTCTCATTCTGACGGCACCCAGAATGCAGAGGATCCATTGGTGAGCAAGTGAAGTAATGCTAAATTCTGATGAAGAAACTAAATCTTGATTTTAGGCAAATTTTAATATTTGGGTGAACTATTCCTTTAAGTTGAGAGGCTTTGATATGCAGAGCATACCAGTTTGAAAGAGTAGTCTGTCCCAACAGCATTACATCACATAGAGGTACTGTATTATGATTTTATTTGAACCATTAGTAGCCAACTTTATGGATCCAATACATGCATAATTGTATGTGTAACTTTTCAAAAGAGACAGATTAAGTCCTCGAGACAAATCCTTAGGCAACATATTGGTATACAAATGTCACATGTCAGATTATAAAAGTAGATTTTGGCATGCAAACAGACATATCTTATGCTTTCATGCAGAATTTGATAAAGCCATCTCAGTCCCCAAGACATACTAAACAAAAATGGCTCTATAAACCAAGACCATACCAGTTAATAAATCTTAAGACTGATGATACACGGGGCAACTTTTTGAGCAATGTTGCCGCCAATGGGTAACCAGATGAGACACAGAGCCCACGACCGATCTAAAGTATCCAGAAAGACATTTGTTACCCATTCTCAATAAGAAAGTGCCCAAGCAACATTGCTAAAAAAAAAAGTTGCCCCGTGTATGTATCATCAGCCTAAAGCATCTATTTATAAGGAGTTCAACTGAACAGCCAATTGAATTAATTTTAAATAACATTATACAGTGAATTTAGAGGTGATAACTAGAAAGCAACATAATTTTGAATGATATGGTCCCGTTTAACTTGAAATTGTATGGAAGGTGGTATTTGGAAAAAGCAGGTGCAGATTTCAGCAGGCGATGGGCAGAGCAGTCAAGCCATGCGATCGTATCGTCTTTACCCCCTGACATAGATGTCAGACATCTTCTCTCCTGTCAGGAAAGCATCGTCCTCTAGAACTACGTCATCAGTGTTCCAAATAATAACACGAAGCTCAAAGCTAGATAACAGCACAGCAATGACATGGGGGCAGGGAGGAGGGATAGACAAAATAACACCAAACGCAACAACACAGACAAACAACAAAAGAAAACAGAAACAAACAAACAAAGGTAACCGATTAAACCACACACTTTTCTCACACCTGCCCATACCTACCCCCTCACAAAAATGTCACTGGACTTTTCCCCTGTGAAGTAATCATCGTCTTCCAGAATTACCTCGTCAGTATTCCATATTATCACCCTGAGCTCATATCTGGGAGATGAAAAGAATGGGATCATCATCTTACTGTTAAAAGTGTTTTAACCCAAAAATGTGCGTCATGTGGTAATATCTAAACTGCAGTAACTGGAGAGTCAAAAGAAAAATATTATTTGAAACTGTTATTAATTATGACCAAAGTCATTTTGTTAGATTAGGTAAAAACTACAATAATCATGACCTTTTTTACTTTCTTATTAGCACATGTTCCTGTTCTTGTAATTGATTCAAAGTTGTCTTCATAATCTTTAATTGAAACGCAATAGTCTGCTCTTCCTCTGAAAAGATTTCACCTTTTTAGAATTTAGTCAGTGCATACTATTGGATAATGATATTGAATGTGCACATAGCTTCTTATATTTGCAATGCAGTGCAACTGCACTTCTGTCAGGACCACTATCGTCAGAATGATAGATACTTAGCATAAAGTTTGGTTTGGCGGTATGGTTCTGTTCTGGGCAAAAAACCTCCCTGCCCATCCATGCAGCCTGTCATGAATGAGCAGGGAGAGCAGCAATAATAACAACCCCCCTAGGGTTAACAGAACAGAACAATGCAGATATCATTAATGTACTCAATGATATTTAAGTGTAACACTTTATTCAAGATAAAGGAGTCTGATTAGCAAGGAATATCAGAAAGCTAAGTCCTGACTGTGGCGAAAGGTGGAGCTGGGGATGGAGGAGGGTAATTTGCTCCGAAGCAAGCTAAAAAGCTGCTGAATAATACTGAATACAGCTTATATAGGAATGCCGCGATAGGTGTCGTATTCCTATAGGTAGATGTGATCAGCTGAGAATCAGCTGATGCAAGCTTGACTCACGTGACCTGCCAGAACTAACGCTAAAGCTTAATTTTTTGCAGCGCATGAATATCTCAGACTAAAGTAAGACAGTTTCACAGTACAAAACTGGCACATTCTTTAGATGATTAAAAAATAAAGGCAGATGAGAGGCGTGAAGCCAGAAGAGTAAGTATGAGAAGAAAAAGAAAAAGGAGGATGTGTTTTATCTACAAACTTTAGTTTTTTTAGAGGTTTTTTTATCTGTTTCGCGGTTCCTTGTGGTATCTAAACTATAGCTGAATCACAGTAGTATCATTGTGTTTACTGTAAACACAGTTAAATATGATTATAGTAAACCATTATAAAGTGAGATAAAAAAGACATTCTGTAGTTTGGTAATTTGCCATTCAGAGCCACTGCTTAATCCAGAGCTTTTAAGTCATTCAAAGAATATTAATTGCGCAAGCAGTCCAGAAAACCAAGTAGTCTGTTCCCTGCTTAAGGGTGTAGTGATCTAAGAGTGAGTATGTGATCTCAGCATGCTGATTATTAAAGCTTCCTATTTTTTGTCTAATCCTCTTCAAGGCTAAACTCGCTGATGCACATATCAAAATGATATTTTGTTCCATGTACCTAGAGACTTTAAGGAAAAACATGTAAAAATTAAGGCAACATTATGAACAAATAAAATATTAATACCTTAACCGCAACAAACTCAAATTACAAGAGCGTGTATTAAGGAAAAGCAAGACTCTGAACAGAATCATCTACTGTACCTCTTTGGTTTGCGTGGCGATATGTCAATGGCTGGTCCTGGTGCTGGTACATCCATAGGAAACATGTCCACCCACATTTCAATCCTTCCCTGTGAGATTATGAAAATTTGAGGAGCTGATAGTTACATTACATTTTTTATTTTACAATGTTCATTTATGTTCCCTAATTTAAAACACATAAATAAACTGCATCTGCTAAAGTTAATGCAGTTATTTACTCTTGCCCTGAATTGCGTTACCAATGATGGAAATCTCATCAAGGTCACTTGGTGAACCTTGGAGTATGTCCTTAGTAATCACAGTGGTATTTTGTTGCACACCCTTGCGTACCTGCTCTATGCCTGGCTTGTCCGGGTTGAGGAGCGGCCTGGTCTCCACATGCTCAGGAATGAGTTTGCAACCAACACGTGGGATCTCCTCCCAATGCCTAAGAACAGTAAGAGACAAGTGTTCTTCTGTCTGCTTCTTCAGACCTGTAAACCAAACGAAATTGATATCTTTTCATATATGATCAGAGAAAAACATCATAAACTCTATATAAGCTCTGTAAATGTCTCACCACTCTCATCCTCGATTTCTGTTGGCCCAAGAAAGATGCGGTTTCCCACTTTGACCCTCCCACCAGGTCCATAGTGGGGTCCATCCAATTTACCTTCTTTGCACAACTTAGCAAGGATCTGAGTTGGCTTCTGAGGGTCACGCCATACATTGTAACCATGGCTGGATGGTTTCACAGTGAAACAAAAAATAGGACTGTCAGTTTAACACACTAATTATTAAGACTTGATGTTTGCCTTGGACAGATCAAAAACTTGACTGAAAGGATTATGCCGGATATGGCTGCTCTATTATTATAATATTTTCAAGTGATGATATATGCAATTAATTGTGATTAATTTGATGAATTAATTGTTATTTCATGTAAAATGAATGTATTTGACACGTATTTGACAACCCCAAAATTAAAATACTTTAACATGTTGTTCTATAAAGATTTTTAGAGGTTCTTGCTCAATGTGCTGATATCCTATAAAAAGTACAAGAAAGAAAGTACTCACACAGAGTAGTTGGATGCAATGCCACATGTGACTCTGTGTTTGCTGTAGTATCTGTTCTCCAAATCAATCTTAGTCTCACCAATCAGGTCATCAGTTCCAACCAAATCCCAGTCATATACTGCCACAGTCAGCATGGACTCCATTGGGAATGTGGCCTCTATGTCGAATGACCTTAAGGACAGAAGAGAGAGGAGAGTGTGCTTTCAAGAAATTATTTTCTAGTTTGAGCTCATACCAATTTATTGGTTTGGTTGGTTTACAATAGTATAGCCTACTCACTTTCCAAAGACTGGATTTAGCTGCTTGGATATGTAGTTTTCCTTGTCCCGAATCTCTGACTTTCCCAATCGAATGACTATATAAGGGTCCGCTTTACCATTTATGTCCGCAGGATGCAGGTCTGTGGCCTGAGAAGAGAGTCATGTTACTTTAGAGATGGTACCATATGAATAACACTTACAATTCAGAGTTGAATTCACTCACTCTAATGATATAAATCCTTATGAGAACATTGATAGGGTCATTGTGAGGAATACTTTGGAACATGCCCATGTTTGGATCAAATCCTGCCTCTCTGGTGATCTCCTCAGACAGTGGTAGTTTATACATACAGAGGGAGCCCTGGATCACAAGGAGACAGATTCAAACATTTCAAAATGAAGTGTTCATAGTGCCATTTTGAAGCCTGATTTATACATTATATATTCTTATCTTACCTTAAATCTGCCCACAATCCTGTCATCATCAACCACATTGTGGTCATCATCATCTCCAGCCTTTCCTCTATACAGGTTGAAGGTGTGGAGCCAGTCCTCAAAGTTCCCAAACTCAATCTCCAGCTCTTTATTGTACACCTGAGATAAAGGTGTTTATATTCTCATTAAAATTAGTATAAACTGCTACAGATCACAGCGTAGCTAACGTATGTTCAAAAGGGTCAGGAAGATTTTTATTTTTTTGAATTTTTGAACTCAGTGACCCCAAACTTTTGAACAGTAGTCTAAGTAAATAAATAAATGTTTACAATCCAGCAAAAATGAAAAACACAACTCCTGTGGGCTAATATTTTCAAGAAGCACTGACCACAAGTTCATCAACTTTTGGTTTTAGAGGTCGTTTTTCTGTGCCATCATGGTTCTTCTTTTTGTCCTTGGAGCTCTTCTTGTCTTTGCTCTTCTCCTTGAGTTTGGTGCCTTTCACAGGAAAGTCATCAGCTTTGATCTCTGAGGTTAGGGGTGAATGGGTAAGGTACGGATGGAAATGAGGAAATGAGAAACGTATGGAGCACAACACCTATAATGTCAGTCTGAATGGATGTTTGTACTGAACAATGATGCTTCAAGCCATGAGAGTTATTTTAAAGACCCAAAATACATATAGATTATATAGAAATTTACTTGATGGATTCCCTTAAAGTATGAAGGAACAAATACATTAAAATTCAATTGAATTAAAAGAAAATTAGTTCCCGAATTTGAGATTTTTAATAGTTTCTAAATGTTTGTGTCCGACATTCATGGCATGAAAAAAATACTAATGGTTTTATGTCATGACTACAATGGAGATGGATATCGGATGACAGTGCTCATCTGAACATGTTCCTAACAAGAACGTTAGATCAACTCAGAGACACTACACCAGGTCCATGCTAAACTCTGTGGTTACCTGCACTCTCTCCTGCTATCTCCAAATCTTCTCTTTCCTCTGCCTCTGCCAGAGCGGCCTCCTGGGCTCTGAGATTCTGAATTCACATTAAGTATATTGCAGTAAAATATTACAATATGACACACTACATATCAAACATAAAGGATAAAAAATGCTAAAAGTCCCTCCCACCTCCATCATAGTCTCTATTGAGGCAAAGTATTTGGACCACCAGTCCAACATGCTCTCATCCGGCTCCTCTTCATCCACTTCTTCTCCCTTCTTTTTCTTCTTCTTCTTTTTGTTCTCTTTCTCTTTCTCCTTCTCATCCTCATTCTGTTAGTCAAAAAGGATTTAAATTGAAATGTAATGTGGTTACATTTGTAATGTTAATCCAAATGAATGTAAATACAATCTAAAACATTTACATATGTCTGAACCAAACCAAGACTTACCAAGTCAACTTTAACAACAGCATCTGTGGTCTACAAGGACAGGGCCACACAAACATACATCAAATACAAACAACATCCACAACAGATTCTACTATACTGTACTAGCATACACATCACATGACTGTTGATGCACTAACTTTGAAGCAGTAAACCAAACAGAACCACAGTTGGAACAAAAACACAACAAGCAGAGAAGTATTCTAAACCATAACAGTGTGTTATCACAGCAGGGCATATCTACTCACAGCATCAATCTTCACAACTGTGTCCATCTTCTTAATGTTGGGTTCAGGGTCCATATTGACCAAAATATCACCTGAGGGATGAGAAATGGGACGGGAGTGGGGGCGGGAATGAGATGTCCCATTCGTGAGAGCCATGTAGCCATTGGCCAGTCTAGCTGGTGTGGGCAGGGTCATATGATTTAGCAACCAATGACCCAAGACCAGCACCAGGACAGAAAGGATAAGACCATGAAGAGATCAGAGGAAGAAAGAATAGAGAAAAGGAATGAAAAGTCAGAAAAGCTAGAAAAAATATGTTTTATGTTTTAATATATTTTAAAATGTAATTTGTTTGTGTGATGGCAATGAATAAAACGAAGAAGAAATATTTTGTAACAATAGAAATGTCATTAGTCACTTTAAAAAAAATAAAAAATTCCTTGTTGAATAAAAGCATTAATTTTAACAAAGAAAAATGTTACTGAACTCAACTTTTGAACAATAGTCTAAGCAATTATAAGTGAATTGCTTGATATATATATATATATATTAGGGTTGTGCAATATACAGTACTGAAAATGTATTGTGGTACAAGATCATCATCTTGCAAATTCTGGTGTCAGACCCAGATGAAAATGTGCCGTTACTCACACATTATGGTGTAAAGCATAAAACTTTATGCAATAACGATTGAAATTTGACTGATTTGACATTATATGTGTAATCTATTTATAAATAAAATGCAGATGGGATATTTAACAAATGTTAAGTTATTTGTGGTCTGATTTAATTATCACTGAAATACAACAAATACATGTTTGTACAAATATTAATTAGAAGATCATTAGGAGAGTTTTATTATATTGTATTGTTATGTTATTTTACTCAGATTTACAGTGAGTATATTCGTATATGATAGGTACCTGTGTGAGCCCAGTTGTTAGCAGTCTTGTCTGGGGGGCTGTAGATGAACTTGCGAAGGCTGGTCACGGCATAAGACCCCACCAAGGTGAAGCGTCCGAATGCCCTGCAATCCACCACCCGAATATTAAGTGGTGGATGAAGTAGCTCATTTTCTGGCAGATCCTGCAGCACAAGATTACTCAAGTTAACTTTTTAAATCAGAAATGAAGTGGATAATTTTTATTACATACATAATTTCACTCACCACTTCAAACCACTTCACTAACGTGCTAAAGTTTGGATTCTTCTTATAGTTCTGAATGAGGGCTGACTGAACCCCTTTCCCTGCACACTCAATGTCCACACGAGGCCTGTCCACCTGGGCCAGGTTGATTCTTTTAAGGTCCCTCAGACCCCAGAACAGGACCTAGAGAGAAATAATGACCATGAGCTCAACAATACTGATATAATAATATGAGCTCCCGATGTAGTAAATGCAATTAATAACATAATCAAATTGTGGTTGTGGCTTTCTGTGGCGGTATTTTCACCTCTATGCGATATCTGCTGAGAATTGGTCGTATGCCCAATGGAACAGGCAGAATGGGTCCGCGGTCAGAATCAGTCGGGCCATCAATTGGAGGAAGTGCTGTCCGCCCTGCTGGACCAATCTGTGGATAAACAAATATTTTAGAATGGAAATATGTAAGTCAATAACTGATGAAAGACTGAAGTAATTACTGACTAATAAAACTGATTAAATCCTCATTTTAATTTCAAACCTCTACCTTGTAAAACAGGAAAAAGCCAAAGCACAGCAAATAGCAAAGAGGATGGAGTCACTTACACAAGAATGGAAAACAAAGCAGAATTAAAGAGGGGAAATTGTTATTTTGTTTATTGCACCTTGATCTGAGGTACAGCAAAGTCATGGACAGCAATAAGAGCCCTCCTGATCTCCTCATCATCATAAGGAATCTGTTAAAGTTGCCATGGAAGAGTACAGCAGAAAGATAGTGGATTATGGAAAAATTTAATGGGAAATCACATGAAAAGTTCAAGAATCACATACAAGTTGGAGGAAAAAGAGAAAGAGTGATCTGCATCTGTGCTATTCAAGCAACATTTATGAAAAGATAGGCCAAGCATTGACTGAGAGTCCACTCAAGATGATCACAGCCACTGTGTACTGCCTGTACCTGCAGTAGTTCAAAAGCAGCCAACAGATCTCCTGCAGTGCAGTTTCCTCTGTATATCTGATAGTACTCCAGCTGAGGGGGAAACCGTGGGGGCCCGTAGTGTTCATCAACCATCTTAGTTAGTGGCTTTGCAAATGTTCGCCCAATGAACTCAGCTTTCCCCTGGATGCCACAAAAAAAAAAATAAAAAAAATAACACAGTTGCAGTTCTGCCTCTGAACACCAGGGGTCAGTGTGGCCGCATTCCTTGTAAAACCACTTGCAAATCATAGCTACTGTATTGCTGGGGCTTTAAGATCTGAAACTCAAGCTTTGGTTGGCAATTATAAATATTTTTATTAAGTGTTGAACATAAAAGTTCATAAAATATTTATGCTATATCTGACAGCTGTCAATGAAATAAACCACAGCAACGATTACTACAAACTACTGTAGAGACTACAATACAAAGAAACATCCAATTGTAAACCCTCTGAACTGTCACAACCAAGGGAATGCAAGAGGCAGTTTATCGCCACAGGAAACGGGTGTTTTTATCACAATGTAAGTAAGGGAAATGATCTGATCTTGTTTTTGGGACAGAGTCCCAAGCAATCCCACTTCTTGCATGCCTTGTTGAATTCAGCTATACAAACACAGACTGACAGCAGTGTTGAAATAAGTGTTCACACTCTACTTAGCCAAAATGTCGTCCAACAAAAGGCCAGGACCAGAAGATTTTAAACAGGAAGAAACATCAAGTCAGGACAATAGGGCACATTTTCACACACTCTTAATGTGACTCATACATGGAAAGGATAATGTCAACAGAACTGTGCACTGAACTAGCAAACTATGACATTTAATTTTTAATATTTAGATTTTATTTATGGGTATACGTCTTGGGTTTTGCCATATAAACTTAAAAAGTGTGACTTTGACAAACTGCAATTCAACTTGCCTATGAAAGTGATTTTCAGTCAGAGAATACTAACAGTGTAAAGTGTTTTCTCAAAACCATTTCTAGATAGTTTGATGACTCGATATTTCTTTGACATTTGATCATTTTCCTTTCCCTAACCTCTGACCTGTCAGTAATAACCGGTTTCATAGGAGGGGTGGACGGCACAGACGTCAAATCTCCATCATCCTCTGCCCCTTCATCGCTGGAGTTGTGGATGAGCTCAGACTCCTCTTCTTCACTCTCCCCTCCATCCTCTTTCTTCTTCTTTGCTGATGCAGGCTTGCTCACTCCATCAATCTGGTTACCATAGTTACCTAAGTGGAAAATTGTGTACTTGTGGTGCTGTAAATTTTTTTATTACTGAAGCATTGCCTGACTATTTCCATATTGAAAAGTGCATGTTTTGAAAAGAGACATTACAGGTGTTTGACTTCAGCTCACCAATAGTGACTTCAAAGCTGATGGGTTTATCTCCAATTTTTCTGTCTATCATTGTGGCCTCCAAGAACGACCCAAAAAGGAAAAACTCCTCCATTTTCCCTGTGGCACTCTGATAGAAAAACAAAGTAAGATCCTTTAATGTCAAAATTACATCCAAATAGCTGTCATTGTTTTTATTAACATAAAAAGTGTTAAATAACTATCTGCTGAATAGGACCGATGCAGCAGAGTGAGGAATGAACACACTATGGGTTTTTTGTGTGACCTTTTATTTCACCGCATTGGGATCTCTTGCATCTTTTCTCTCAGACATGAATAGGATTTTCCCAGTAGTGATCGCAAGTGTGAGCTCAGTCTGAAAACATAATTGACTTGAGATTATGGCAGCTCAGTGCTGCATTGTAACCCAGCAGGGGTTTCCTCTCAACTGATGCTATGATCTTTGATCAAATAAACTCTCACTGCTGTCCTTAGCAGAAAATAAAAATGCATGCCTTATAAAAATGTACTTTTCTTTTCCACTGTAGTAACCATAACTATGTAACTGTGTTCCAAAATGTTTATACTAAATATATTATGGAAGAGAGGAAATGTTCACCTTCATTATAACATGTGCACTATATTCTAAGCCTTATAAAGCTAAAGACTGACTAGTAGTAATGCGCAATTCATAAATTAATTGTACTTTTCAGTCAAATCTTTTCGAACAATCAGTTGATCCACTTCCAAAAACTGATCTGTATGATTTGTTCAAGAAATTGACTTCTGGTCTGGTTCTCTAGCATTGCGCTGGATAGGAAGATTGTCAGGTGAATAATGACTTCAACCATTCTGTGACACTTCAGTGGTGCTTTTTGTGTATGCGTGTATGTTGGAGCTTCACAGTTTCAGTCCTTATTCATATTTATTATATGGATTTTTTAAAAGTTGGAATACAGCACATGGACACCATGGACTACTTTTATAATAATTTTATGATGCTTTAATGCCGTTTTCACTTTTACTTTCTGAAGAATAAAATCTCTATTTCCCTACATATTTTAATGTCACAGAAAATAATAAATGGTACAAAATTTATTCTTTTGTGTTCCACAGAAGAATGTAATTTGTTTTGTAATGAGTAAATAACTTTTTGGAATTTTTATTTTTGGTGAACTATGCCTCTAAGGAGTTCATTCACCTCCTCCTCTTCTAAACACTAAGAAAACATCTAATTTTCTGTGCTAGTCCCCAGCTCTTCTGTATTATATCAACGATCATACTGTCAACATATCTTTGGTTTACACTTTTATGTCTCTATTCTTTATGTAGCTTGGATCAATGCTTGCCTCTACATCAAGTGTAAAAACAAATCTTGTGCTTCAGTAAAATGCACTTGACAGTCAATATTTGCTCCCAAAGGCCACACAAACTCACAGACAGCTGGACTCCCACACCACATCTGCAGTGACTTTTTGTCTAAGGACACAGAGCTTGGCCTTGTAATTTCCCAGTGGGCAGCTGATATTTCGTAGAATCTGGACTGAGATGTAATCAACTTGTCTTCACATATGGTGCAAGGGGTTTAGAAGGTTACAAATAACCAGGCCAAGATGGAATCTGTAGAGTTTTTTAAACATTGTTAAATATGAAAATTGCAGACCTGCAGATGAGTTAGAATGAATCAGATGGCTTTCAAATAACCTGCGTGTATTGTCATGGTGTGACAGGTAAGTGTAGAATAATTTATGATTCACAGAGATTTCAGTACTGATCTCAAGAAAAAATGTCACAGTGCCGTGACCCAATCTCAAAAAGAGGAAATAAGTAATCTCACCTCTGAGATGTTGGACACCGGCTCTATTTGTACCTCAGTAGAGCACATTATTTCTGCGGAAGAGGTGTCCAGGATCTCCACTGCGATACTAATGAGGAGGCGTGCCCTGAAGGACACACCTTCCCCCAGCCCCTCGTTCAAGTCCTGGTGCTCATCCATCAGGGTGTAGTTACGGGTAGAACCATACATATTCGCCCAGGCTGGGCCCATAGTGGGCAGGAACCCTGGGGAGAGATGGAGGAGCAGTTAATTCTCTTGTTCTTTAAGAGCTCTGATTATTTACAGCCTCCATTCAACCTGTGCATTCATTAAACTGTTAGTGTTACACTGGGACAGATCGCCAGTACCTTTGTCTCCATCATTTGCGATCTTTCGTAGATCGATGAAATGAGTTCCTATGGCAACATCATTCACCTTGTCTGAATCACGGATCTGAACTTTCAGTCGCCTACACAAAGGTGGGAACATCTCGGTGAAGATTATTTGCTCATTCCAGATGGGCTCGTAGCTGCTCTTCTGAACTGATGTTTTACCCTGCACGTGTAAGGTAACATGTTAAAAAAGGCATGCATTACATGTATAATGTAATGCATATTGATCTCTTATTGAGTGTTTTCATGTTTCTTACTTTCTGCCCTGCAAATTGCACCAGGACATAAGGGTCCACAAGGTCCCTGTTCTCCCCGATAAAAGCTTTCTTCACGTTGGCCATGATGCTGGTGTTCATTTTAGGTAGTCCCTCAGCTCTATAAATCTTAACATAAAACCGAGCCCATTGTCTCTCTGATGGAACACCCTCTGGCAAAAGAAGATTCCTGCAATATATCATAAAGAACAGACCAACATGACACTCAGATAAATAAATGAATAAAGTTATGAATAAATAAATAAATTTATGAATAAATAAAGCATTAGATGGTGTAGAATACAGTATGAACTTTAGTTCATGAACATCTGGGAATCTAAAGTGCACTCCAATATATAAATTAATTAATTAACTAAATAAATGAATAAAAATATGAATTTTAATGTATGATATAGGTTTCTGACCCCTCTATGTCATCCTCATCTGTTTCATTGGCCTTGTGGGGAATCTTGATGTTGTCTCCTTTTCCTACGACTGCAAGGTCACACTTAACGTAACCTTTGCAGCCAGCTGTGATGTCATCATGGTCTGACAGCATTGCCCATTTGTGGTGGAACTGATGTTCTGTAAGATACATGCACCAACTAAAAGACTTTTTCCATCTACGTATATCTCTTACTTATTAAGATTTCCATTATTCCATGGTTACTGACCAGGTTGTGAGTAAACAGTTCCCACATCTAATTTGAAGGTGCCCACCAGAGTACCACTTCGTAGAAGGTTTTTAGAATGTATTACCTTAATTTTAGCATGAGAGAAGAGCAGAAGTACAACATAATCATCTGCACTTTTCAATGGGTTTTCATGGAGGTTTGTTATAATTTACATTTACATTTAGTCATTTAGCAGATGCTTTTATCCAAAGCGATTTACAAATGAGGACAATAAAAGCAGTCAAAACTAACAAAAGAGCAACAATATATAAGTGCAAATGACAAGTCTCGGTTAGCCTAGCGCAGTACACGTAGCAAAGTGTATATATATATATATATATATATATATATACACTGAACACACCACACACAAAGAAAAACAAGTAGATAGAATAGAAAAAAATAGAATAGAAAATTTTTTTTTCAAATAAAAAAAAGAAGATAAATGTAGATAAAGTAGAAATAGAAAAATAGAATAGAAAGTGCTAGAGTTAGAGCGTCAAATAAAGGTGGAACAGATGTGTTTTTAGTCGTTTATAATATGTATAATCATATGCTGAAAGTGTGAACAAAGGCTTAATCTACTCACTGATATCTTCAGGATCTTGTCAAACATGACATCTGGAGGCACATGGAAGTCAAAGACAAAGTACTGTTGGAAGATAGAGAAAAATATTGAAATGAAGTATCTGGATATGAAGTTTATAAAATGAGGTTGTTCATCATTTCAAACAATGTGGGTGGATTTAGGCATTATGTAGGTGTTGATACAGCAACTATCATAAAAAAAACTACAAAATAATCTGTTTTTCCAACTAAAATGAGATGATGCTTGCAGTTGTAATCCTATACATTAGGCCATGAAACTGTCTGAAATGACAAAATTCCTTTGCTCAGATTTTCTTCAATGTGAACATAACCTCATTGTAGTAGGGGCAGTTTGTGGACTCCTTCATCGATGTATACTTCTTCTCCTCTCCAATTTCCACACAAACCACAGGATCCATGTTCAAACCAACCAACTGACGGGCCTCGATTACTGTAACACTGATCTGAAAGACATTTTAATAGGGATATTATAAAAATAAAATAAATGAAAAATTATATATTTGGGGAAAAACATACAGGATATAAAACACTGAGCTGGTACGTGTCTTAGATGCAGATTAAGACTGAAGAGGCTGTATTAACGTGGGTGTGGAATGTGTTATGCTTTTATTACTGTAGAGGGCTAATTAGTCAAGTTTGCTTCAAGCAATCAAATGACAAATGAGCTACAGTATTCTACTGGATCACAGATTCATAAAGTACACATCTGTGGCTGCATATGGACAAATAAACAAAGCCAAACTTAGTCAAGAGAAGGAAAATCATAATATTTGTAATTTTAGTTCTAGCTCTTAAGTCAGCAGAGCCATCTAATTCAGATTTGCACAGTTCGAATGAACTACCAAATTGCACTCTCTCTCTCTTATTTTCCTTACATTGGTGTGGTCTTTATTACACTTCAAAGTTACATTTTTATTACATTTAAGCAAATAAACTACTCTACGCAAAATAACAGAAGCTGGATTCCAGAAGAATGCAGATAATAATACTGCTTATTGCTGCAGTGATGTGTTCTGTAAGCGGGTCCCAAAAGGTAATGTAAGAGAAAGACAGAAAGCAAAGGGTTTCCAACCTCCAGCAAAATATGAACTGTTAGAGATAAAGAAAAATTTTAACAAGACCTAAAAACACTTACACAGCACACATGGGATATATGGATTTCCTGCTTTTAAAGGAATTATACAGTGCCAGTACTGAAACGAATTTGCAATTCAACTGCTCTACACAATAGCCATGCAGAGGACAATTGGTAAGTAAAAATCAAAGGCTTCTCTGAAACACTGAAGCTCAAAGCCGGTGTTGTTTATTTGGAACGGCTATGTATATTCAGGGCTTTGAGTAGAACTACTCAAGGATAAATGCCACTAATTTAATGTCTGGTTGGCAATTCAAGGCCTGGAGATATTGTCTTTTGGAATGTGGGAATGTTATTGAGGTCCCCTTCCTTTCTCTGTGTTCTTTCGTCTCTCTTACCTGATAATCCACAGGACGCCCTGAACTGGGCTCCATCTTAATGTCAGGCTTTGATCTGAAAAACAAAACGTGAAGATCAAACTTCATAAAACACATTTAAACTAGGACTGTCAATTGATTAGTCATTTTAATCAAATGAATTACATGAAATATTAAATCAGGTCTCTGTTGTGGATAAAATGTAATAAAATAAAAAGTAAAATAAAATACCAACATGCATACTTTAAACTCAATAAACTGCTCTTAACAAAACAAAAATTTATTTTTAAAGAAAAAAAAACAAGCACTCAGAAAAAGAAATACTGAAGGTGACCTTTTCAAATGATGTGAACAGATAAACTTCAAAATGTGAAAGTGTATTGCTTTAAAAATACACCATGTGCACATCAGATATGTGACCTTTTGTTGGAGACATTAGTGGTAACTGCGGTAACAGAGGCCAGTGAGATGGTATCATGGTCGACCCCACCGCCCAGACGCATGACCTTTCGATCCAGATCTTCTGCATCCAAAATGGCAGGATCATCTGCACACAAGAGCCCCGCTGAGTTGATATTGCATTTGAATTTTATGATTCTTTTATCTTTCCTATTCACGTCCAATGTAAAATCTCCTGAAGCAAAACCAGTTGAGAACCAGTACAAGAAGTTCAAGAAGTACAATTAAGGTTAAGGTAATAAAAGTACAATAAACTTGAGCTACAATGTGCTTTCAGCACTAAATTGATCCAAAATGCAGACACAAAATTTAGTAAGCTAAAAACCATTGCAATTTGTTTGTTTTCCTGTCTTGTAAAACCAGCTCTTTAATGATCAGCAATATTTACCTCCTTTTTTGTGGTCATCTTTAGAGATGCGTGTCTTGCCCAGTTTCATGGCTGAAAACACTCCTTTTCCTGTCCTATAATATAAAACAAACAATTAGATTGGCATGAATGGGGAAAAAAAAGTGACAATATTTGCACTGTGATTCAATTTTAAATCATCTCTACCTCTGGGCCTCCCAAACACTGAATAATTTATACCAGTTTAAACTCAGAAATATGATTATGTTACATAGATATTGTATAAAAAGCAGTGAAACATCTGGATACATTTCACGATAAAATAAATTATTAATACATAAGGCTTACACATAGGTAGTGCAAAGGATAGGTATTCAAGTATCAGAATGATTCCCATAGACAAATGTTTGATCTACAGGTCAAGCACGGCAGGTTTCCCATGATGGAAAATTTCTGTGATATTTATCACTCAGACGAGACACTCGTTTCAACAGCGAGACCACACTCACAATAGCCACAGTGGTGTCCAATTACTCTGCACTGATATTATGGTGATTAGATATCAGTTCACCTACAAAGGCCTGATGATGTCACAGGCTGGCTGGACAAATAACGGTCCTTCATTATTCAACACAATGGGCACAATTCTCCAATTAGCTGTGATCTGTGGATATAGATACTTTCTCAGGACAAGATGAAAGACTTCCAGACCGTTTTGTCCCTTTATTTCCTTTGAGCATTTTAAACAGAGAGAAAATGTATCAAGATCACACTGACATCACATTATTTGGATGCATGACGTAAATCACCTGTCAAGAAAGTACTGATTATGCAAATGCAGATACTTTTTTCAAAAAATTCAAACATTATTCTATAATTTAGTCATTTTTTGCATCTCAGTCTTATGATGGAAGCACACCCTCTAAAATCTGTTTCTTTGAATCACTGCCATTATCTCGAAGTGACACTGAAGTGAAAGTCTTCAGAGCTTGTTTTTAAAGCTTCTATTCATTAATAGAAATGAATAAAGATCAGAAGTTTTTTTTTGTTCCCCAGAAGTCCAGCAATTCACTTTTTAAAGGTGAACTATTCAGGAGTCAAACACCCCTCATACTCAGTCAAACAAAGTTATATCAAACAAATGAGTGTTAATATGAAATCAGAGTATAGAAATTTCATCATATGCATCAGGCATGTTTTTTAAGTGCTCCAGGTCACAAACAGTTTTTTTAATATATCTTCTTCTTTGGTCATGCATAAAGTGATGTATATATATACACACACATTTAACACAAGCAACACAAGTTAAATTAAGCTTTGAAAAAAAAAAAACATTTCTTATTAAGCAAGTTTAGTTTACAAGTTTATGAACTGCACAACAGAACAAACTCACTCACACATACAGGATACTCACCACACTCTGACAACCACCAAAAACGAACCAATAGAGAAATGTGTGTGCTGAGCCACCCAGGGTAGAAAATAAGGTATTCCTGACTAGTGTACTATATGTCCATTTTCAGTTGCTAGTCCAGATCCAAGCAAAACACACAGGCAAAGAGATACTTCTTAGATTAAATGGGATGTCCACAATAAGGGAGAACTTGAGATGATGACCAGGTATGAGTGAAAAAGTAACAGGAGAATATGTGACCTCACACACACACACACACACATAGACACATAATAATACACACCCACATTCACTCACTCTCACTCTCTTACAGATGTGTCTGATATAATTACCTATATGAAATAAAGTACAAATTATAAATCTAATAAATGTTTCTTGAGGAGCAATTCAGCAAATTAGAATGATTTTAAAATGAGAACTTGAAGGATCATTTGACACTGAAAACTGGACTGACTGATGAAAATTCTACTTTGACATCACAGGAATTAATTACAAATAATTGTAATAATATTTCACAACAGTACTGTTTGTGCTGTATTTGTTTTTTTATTCAAAATAAATACAGCATTGGTGAACATAAGAGCCTTCCTTCAAAACCATTAAAACATCTTACCACCCCCAAATGTTTGAATGGTAGTATAAGTATATAGAGCGTGATGAGACCAGCTCTGTTTAATCAAAGGCTTCACTTCAGCAGTCAAGGAGAAATAGGCAACCCACAGATACGAAACAACAACACAAACAACAGTGGTTCTGAGGTTCTTTGGGATTTGTTGGAGCTAATTCTGTGCCACATGAAATAGCCTGACAGTAGGTCTACCTGTATATACTGTATGAAGGCCAGACTTTCAGCACTAACTTGTTAAGTCTAGAGACTGTAGGGTGTTCAGTAAATCATCAGTCTGATGGACAGCGTTTCTACAGAGAACAAAGCCAGAGTCTCAGATTGCGCTCTGAGTTGAGCTCCTTATGCCTAGGAGAAGGACATTTGTGGGCACTGTCAATCAATGAAGCACTTGAGATAAATAAATAACATTTAATTCCATCATTAAATGCCAAATGCTGCACTTTTATTGCCTTTCATGTAGTCTATCTCAGTCTATCTACAGTATATTGAATGGACCATCTGATGTTTTCTTAAGTGAAACCTTTGCAAAACGACAATCCCACTTTAATAAAGAGTTTAATTCCCCCAGTTTACTGAGGAGTGACCTTTGCATTTAATTTAGTGTGTGGGGGTGAGATCAAGTGACATTCTAGATATTAGGAGTGATGATGCTAAACTGGTATGCACAAAAAAGTCACTGATCCAAAACCAATTATTCTAAACCCTGTTTAAGAATTATGACCTGTACCTGTAACATAATACAAACAATACAACACTGTCAACACAATATGAAAAGAGAAAACATGACACCTGGGAGAGAAATGTGAAAGGCACTTAATTTGTATTTGCTTGAGGCATTCAGACGTGATGGAATATGAGCACACATAAATATATTCAAATCCTCAAATGTGGCATACTGTAGTACATCAAGACTAAGTTAGAGTAAGACTGAACATAAATATCGTTCAAAAGTTTGGGGCCAGTAAGATTTTGTCCTGTATTTGAGTCTCTTATGCTCACCAAGGCTCCAATTATTTGATAAAAAATACAGTAAAACAGTAATATTATGAAAAATGACTAGAATTCAAAATAACTGTTTTTATTTATTTTAATATATTTTAAAATGTAATTTATTCCTGTGATGGCAAAGCTGAATGTTTAGGAATTATTACTCCAGTCTTCAGTGTCACATGATTCTTCAGAAATCATTCTAATATACTGATTTGGTGCTCACCAAACATTTTTTATTATTATCAATGTTGAAAACATTTTGCTGCTTAATATTTTAGTGGAAACCATGATATATATATTTTTTAGGATTCTTTGATGATTAGAAAGTTTAAAATAAAAAAAAATGTAAAAATTTAAAAATAATAATAAAAAAAGTCTAAAAACAGCATTTATTTGAAATACAAATATTTTGTGACATTATAAATATCTTTACTGTCACTTTTGATCAATTTAATGCATCCTTTCTGAATGAAAACTATTAATTCTTCCCCCAAAACTTTTGAACAGTAGTGTAAACATATAAATGCACCACTTGAACTAATTTATTCATTTTACAGATCACTTCTGCACCCTTCAGTAATGTGTTAAAACTAAACAAACACCTCATTGTATCTAGCAACAACAGCTTGATGTAATTTTTTGTCATTTTCTGTAATTGTGCACATGTGTGATCATGTATCCTTACTACAATACACAAAACATTACAACTAAAAGCAGTGTATCAATTATGTATCGTTCAAGCGCTTGGGAGCTTTGGGACTTGGTGTCTGAGGCTATAGTTTCTCTAGCCAAAAAACTGAGCTGAAACAGAAACTCATGCACGTTCTTTGTCAAATCATTAATCAGAACAAAGTTGTGGGAAACCATGATATATATATATTTTTAGGATTCTTTGATGATTAGAAAGTTTAAAATTAAAAAAATTAAAAAATTACAAAATAATAATAAAAAAAGTCTAAAAACAGCATTTATTTGAAATACAAATATTTTGTGACATTATAAATATATTTACTGTCACTTTTGATCAATTTAATGCATCCTTTCTGAATGAAAACTATTAATTCTTCCCCGAAAACTTTTGAACAGTAGTGTAAACATATAAATGCACCACTTGAACTAATTTATTCATTTTACAGATCACTTCTGCACCCTTCAGTAATGTGTTAAAATCTGAATGAAAACTATTAATTCTTCCCCCAAAACTTTTGAACAGTAGTGTAAACATATAAATGCACCACTTGAACTAATTTATTCATTTTACAGATCACTTCTGCACCCTTCAGTAATGTGTTAAAACTAAACAAACACCTCATTGTATCTAGCAACAACAGCTTGATGTAATTTTTTGTCATTTTCTGTAATTGTGCACATGTGTGATCATGTATCCTTACTACAATACACAAAACATTACAACTAAAAGCAGTGTATCAATTATGTATCGTTCAAGCGCTTGGGAGCTTTGGGACTTGGTGTCTGAGGCTAGTTTCTCTAGCCAAAAAACTGAGCTGAAACAGAAACTCATGCACGTTCTTTGTCAAATCATTAATCAGAACAAAGTTGTGGGGTAACATATAGTAGTCTAGTATTAACATCATTATTTTTTCCCTCTGGGAACTCTAAAATGATAAATATAGATAGTTTAAACACTATTCAGCAGAGGCATGAATACACTGAAGTGTTTGCTTTAATATGAGTTTCCTTTGTATTTTTTGTCATGTATTTTTTTTTACAGCAATGCGTAAATGAATAAGAAGCACATTTCTGTTTCATTAATGCGACTCTCTATTAAAGTAATTAATTATTAAACAATGAGCGTCTTTGAACTTTTGTGCCCTAGTTTCTAAAGTGAATGTGGGGGTTCAATGTGACAGTTTTATGCAAAGAGGAGGAGAGAAGAACAAAAGAATGGAGCGATTGAGGCTGAACATTAGACAAAGACAGCGAACTTAACCACTAGAGTAATGCAACAGCTTTAAAGTGACAAACATCCCTGTGCAAATCCCTTTATTCTGTAAAGTTTCATTTGACTGCAAGCTTTCGCCTGTCGTTGCACCAGGCTCACGAGAATAACGCTCCTGCTCTTACAAACTTACAAACAGCAGGCTTAAACAATGAATCTGATCTGAACTGGCAATTCTAACAGTTTCAACCAACCTAAGGTGGTTAGCTGGTCTTAGATGATTTAAACCAGTTTATCTGGTCTTCAAGCTGGCATTAGGTTTCGCTATTCAGCCAGCCAGCCTGTCCAGACAAAAATTTCACAAAACCCCTAAAACCATCAAAAAGGACCGGCATAAATAGCTGAGCCAAGCTGTGTGACCAGTGAACCACCTCAGGCCCGATTAAATTGTTGTTCCCCCCAGCAGGGTGGTAATTTCTGCTTTACTAAACATGAAAGCACCTCTTCTAGTGCTGAAGATAAACATGCAATGTCCTTTATATGATAATGATGTTGCACTCAAAAGGCTGATAGAAGCTGGATGGTCCAAATGAGGTATCAAAAGCTTTATCAAGCTGGTTCAGTGTTGCAGGTGCTTTTTGTGGTGCTCTTCAAGTAACATGTGAAATAAAATGAACAAAACCCTTCTAAAATTTAGATACATCACACATTTACAAGTCCAATAGTAATGCAAATCCATCACAGCCATTTAAATTTAGCCTTGGATACAAGCCACACCTAGTCCAATACTGGGAAAAGGATTTACCTGGATTTTGGCATGAATTAAACTGATCATTAAGCTGATACTATCTTCAACTAAGTCACAACAAACACAGTCTTCGTAAACAAAAGTCCAATCAATGAGACAGAACTGGACATATTTAGTCAGGGCAGCCCTGCAATTCACAGGATGCATTGCCTGATGCAAAATAAAATAGACTAACATCAATCAGTGTTTCTTGCGAATAATAAAATGTGTGTTTTTTTTTTGTATTAGGCATTCTATTTCCTGCAACTGCCCATGGACACTGGACTGTTACAGTATATACAGAATATCTGAGTATGGAAAGCACAGTTTCAGTGCAAGTTCAAGTAGGAAGACTCGTGACTCTATAGGGAAAGAAACAAGAATGAAAGAGAAAAGCTAGAAAGAGATCAAGCAGAAAGATCGAAGAGAGGGAGGTGGAGATGAGAGAGGTGTCTTAGTCATTAGAGAGGACTAGCAGTTACTTCAGATCAGAAGTTTCACCATGTCCCACTGGGTCCCAGCAACTTCAGCTGTACAACAAACACACACACACTTTCTTCATAGAGAAACAAAAAAAAACTCACACACTTTTAAAAGTAAAACTGTACAACTAAGACTTGTAATCAATAATGAAACAGCACCAGGAATGAGGTTCAAGTGAGGACAGCGGGATACATTATTAAAAATGTCAATGTCAAGTAACCTAAAAACTGTGGAAACCTTTTTTTAATTACTTAACATAACAATTAGCATGACTACATAAGGTTAAAATAACTTTTAAGTGTCTAAATGAAATATCTTAAAAGATAATTGTTCAGTTTCCAGACTGTTACAGACATTTATAAGTAGATACAAAAATACATACATTTTGTAATTAATATTAATTCTTCAAAGTGTTAAAGACGCTAATTGGTATAGAATGCAAAGTAGCAGTAAAGCCAGACTCTTAAAATTATATTCAGTTCATAACTAGGAAGAAACTTGGAATGAAAAAACATAGGCTCAAAGTTTTCAAAGAGTCTCAAGGTCTTTGAAAGAGTAGCAAACTTTTTGTGTGAGCTCTAAAGTCATCTATAAAGCATGAAAGACAATGGTTTTGTGCTCACGCCTTCTGGTCAGAAAAAGAAAATATGTTGTATAAGGTCTCCATATGCATTGCTTGCTTGCAAGTGTGCAAAAAGGAGAGGAGAAAAGAAATGGACTTTTCTGGTGTGTATGTGTGTGTGTGTGTTTGTTTGTCTGACATAGAAACTGTTATCTATCCCAACTATGCAATGCATAATAAACTTTCATATCACATCCTATTTATTCTGACCTGAACAATTCCTTCTGTCTTCTCCGCTCCATGTCTCTTCTCTTTTACTCTGTTAAATAATGCTAAATTAATATATGCTAAAGTTGCTGTATTAATAATAGCTCTCTAACAAGAAATTATCCTGAAAGAAGATAAGGCCCATATCCAGAGGCAACATGAACAGAGAAGCATATAGACACAAATTGTCTCAAACTAGAAGCATCACTTTATATTATGAGACTGAATCCTGAGTGAAGACATAAGAAGTCACAATAATATGGAAAATTTTAAGTTTAAATTAAATAGATTGTCTTCATAGAGATTTACTTGAAAAAAAAAGAGAGTAAGCAAGCAAAGGAAATCAGATAAACAGCTCTCATAAAACACTTGCTAAAGAGAAAACAAAGATAGATTTGAAGGAATACTTGAATTCCAGAATAACTATTTGTTTTAATAACAATACGCTTTATTGATCGAATACTTACTAAATGAAATGGGGCTTTCAAAACAATCCAAAACCACCTACAGATCTCTTGTGGCTGCTTTAATTTACCTAGTAGTAACTTTAAACAACTTTCCCGATAAAGATTTTTCGAGCAGTAATCATAAATATGCATCAGTATGTAAACACATCCACACAGAAACACTAATGGTGCCCATGCACAAACCATGATGGAGTACACTTGTGTCTGTGTATGATTATAGTATATAGATCAGTAGACCTGTGGAGACTGGAAGGCTTAGTGGAAATCAATGCATCCCACACATTCCAGACATCCATGTCTTCATTACTCAGCAAAAAATGTCCTCACAGTGAAAAAGATGTGCTAATAAGATTATTTGTTAATACGATGAGCAAATGTATATTTTTTAGTTCGATTACTTCTTTTATATAGGTCAGATATATATTTTTTTGCTGTATATATTGCTGTATACAAGTATATATATATATATATATATATATATATATGTAACACCATGGTCCTGTTAAGCATGACATTGCATGTCTCTATACTCACTTGACTGAACTTGACAAATATAATAAATAGGCAAGAATACTTAATCTAATTTCCTCCTCATTATCTTCTTCATCACTATTATCATCACAGAATTCTCTGTGCCACTGCATACAGAGGATGACGATGAGGGTGATTGTTTTAACTGAGGCTGGCTAAGATGACACTTACTTGCGGAATGTGGGAATGCCGTGGATAGATCGTCCAGGTGACGTCCCGGAGCTCTGGCTGCGTCCAGAGAGTAGACTGTCTGTTTCAAACTGGAAAGTTCCATCACAGTCATCTGGAACATCAAGGAATTCACCATCGCTCCACACCTTCACACGCCCATCCATGGTCTGATATTTGATCTCTATGGAAATACTTGTCTGAAATACAAAATGATAAATAAAAAACATAACTTAAATTAATTATACATATTTATGTAAAAAAAAATTATATGCACAGTACATATTTATTTCACTTTTTTACTTGTCTTCAAGTAGACTACTGAATATAACATAATATAATAAAATAAAATAATACAAGAACAAACGTTTATTATCTATTATTGAAAAACCTGAAATACACGTATATCTTATTGTACATTTTATTTAAAATACGTTCTGCACAAAACAGAAATTAAGTACTAAGTAAACCCTAACTAGTTCACAGGTTTTACAAGCAATTAAGACATCTGTCTAATCCTGACAAAGCTGAAGAAAGGTTTAGGGTTAGGTGTTAGAGTTAAGTGTTAGGGTTAGGGTCATGCTAACCCATGTGGCAGTATCAGTCTGTCAGCATCAGTTACCCTTTCCTTCTCATGTTTACAAACTCATTAGAAGGAACAAGGAACAATTTAGCCTCAGTCCAACTTATCCCTGTCAACTGCCTTACGGTCACTTCTCCCAAGGGCACAAGTCATACAATAGGGGGAACCTGAGACCTGCTGCAACTTTACTTAGATATAACCCCTGCTTTAATTAACCAATACAAATTTCACGCTTTGCTGATGTCTCATCTCAACAGAAAAAAATTAATGAATAAAAATAAAGAATCAGTTTTATAGTTTTTGCAGAGTATTAGTAAGTACAAGTGGACCATCAAAGACTAAGAATAAAAGCAGTAAAATTTCTTAAAAGTTGCTTTTTTGATGCAAAAATCATAAAAATGTTACAATAATGTTAAGTATTGCTCTGGGTCGAGTATGAAACAGAAATGGAGGAGAAACATCAGACACAGCGTTACTCAACGCTATGTGAATAGTTTAGATTGACTTTTCTTGGTAATGCAACCAATAGAATATGTGTTTCTCTCATTTTAGAAAGTTTTTATTTTCCTATCCACAATATTTTAATTTAGTTTGAGGTTTTTTTATTTATTTTTTTAGTTTGCATTACCCTAAGCAAGATAAAAGATGACCAAGGACCAGCCAGTGATCACTATGCATTGTGTTGCATAACAGCTTTGACAATTTAATAATAACTCCTTCTGTGTTGCGCTGTGGGGAAAAAAATCAGGTTTTGAATGACATTTAGGCAAATGCAAATGAATTAATAATAATCCACTTAGCTTAAAAATGTTTAAAAGGAGCAATGACCAAACTATTTTGTTGGTAAGATCTTGGCTGAAAATGCAGCAGATCAGCAATCAAAGGTGTCTTAATAGAGAAAATCATTTTAATTTTAACACCACTTAAACCGAGATTTTATTTAATCAAGCAATTAATTAACACAGATGAGCAGGACCCATACAGAAATCAACCTGCACATGAAAAAGAGAAATAAAACTGAACAGTCCTCTATAGCCTCCGAGTATATCTGTAACCATGACAACAACATTTTTGTGCAAGTTTGGCAAAAAACAGACCCCTGCGGTGAAATATGTGAATAGATGTTTTTGTGAGTGTGTGTGTTATATGAAAAAAGAGCATTTCTGATCTGTCAGACCAGAACATAAACATGCACACACACACTGCCTGCGATCCTCACATCTCACCCGTATGGCTGTGTTATTGTCGTCAATAAGAGTGTCAGACACCTCCAAGTGACCCTCCTCCACCACCTTCTGTAGAACCATGCGGAAAGTGCCAATTAACCTGCAAACACAAAAAGATCAGTCAGACAGCTGTGTTTAACAACAGTCTAACACTTTCCTTCTCTCACTTTGGTCCAGCCCAATGTGCACTGAACTTAAAAGGGTGGTTTGGTCTTGTAGATACACTGTGACAACTACAAAGACAATGAAAAATAACAAAACTGTGAGAAACACACTCACACACACACAAATATAGACTCTATACATGAAATAAAATATTAAAGTATGCAAAGCTTAGATAGATTTCATGAACTTCAAAGACAATATCTTTACGGCTTTTTTAATATCTATTTTTAAACTTTATAAATTTACTGCTACTGTTATTAGCAGTCAGCCATGATTAATTATACTATTGTTTAAAGTTGGTAATATTTTTGAAAGCTGCATTTATTTGATCAAAAATACAGCAAAAACAGTAATATTGTGAAATATTATTCAATTTAAAATAACTTATGTATTTTTCTATATTTTAAAACATAATTATTCCTGTGATGACAAGGTTCAGTTTTCATCCTTTAAAAATCCTTTAGAAATCATTCTAATATGCTGATTTAGTGCTCAAGAAAATATACTATTATCATCAGACTTGAAAATGGTTGTGCTGTTTAATTATTTTGTGGAAGCTGTAATACATTTCTCCAGGACTCTTTGATAAATAGAAAGGTAAATCATCTTTTATTTTAAGGAAATCTTTTGTGAACAATTTAATAGTAATTACAAGTAATTACTGTTTTGAACAATTTATTTTGTCCTTGCTGAATAAAAGTATTAATTTCTTTAAAAAAATAAAATAAAATAAAAGATATATATATATCAGACTCTGGTCCGTGTTTTGTGTGTGTTTTGCTCCTCATGTGCCTTTCTGTGTTTCCTTATTTGGTCATTTTCCTGTCTTTGTTTAGTTTAATTGTGATTCCGTTCAGCTGTGTTCTATGAATTACCTTTGTATTTAAGTTCCTGCCTGTTCAGTTTCCCTTTTGTCTGGTCTACTTGTTACGTGGATGTATTTCCTGCTGTCTTCTGTGTTTATGTACCCTGTGTTCCATGGATTAAAAACTGTTTTGTATATTCCTCGTCTCCTCGCTCCTTAGTTCCTGTTATCCTTGTGTGTGTGTCGTGTCTATATATATATATATATATATATATATATATATATATATATATATAAAAAGAATTACAATGTTTACAAGATTATTATTATTATTTATTTTTAGTTAGGAAACAGCCTTTAACAGCATTAGTTATAAAAAAAAATTGGGGAAATACTAGTAAATTGGCTGTACTGTTAAAAAAAGAACATTATTAAATTAGTTTTTTATTGTTTAATCAATACTGAATACTGTCCCCTCTATGAATAATGTAGACATTTTCCAATAAAAACTAAGTTTAATTTCTTTATTACAACAAGAAAGATGCAATCTCTCCAGCCACACAAACACATGCTTTATACGTAACCACAACGTCTGTCATGAGTTTAGAAGCACACAGATGCACAAATCAAGACATAAGAAGATCAGCAAACACATGGGCGATAGTGATGTGTCTTTGTTCTGATTGTTAACTCAACTCTCTATGAAAACTGATAGGCAGTGAACCAAAGCAATCAGAAGCTCGGGACTGACCAATTAAATGCCACATGTAGTTAGAGTACACATACTCTCTCTTGTCTATTACTGCATCACTGTCAGAAAGAGAAAGACAGGCGGGTCTATCCATGTAGTCAGTGAATATGATGAGAAAACACATTAAACCACCCTAAACCGCTTGTTCAGCTAGAAGGACTCGATAAAGGGAAAAAAGACTATCGTGATTGATAGTTCAGTGGTGAAATAATGACATTTTGACTGTCACTGAACTGTATGCATCCACAGGTGAATAATTCACTGATCCTGGATCAAGTTCTGGCTCCCGATCAACTTTTCTAAAGACCCCACATACATTATTGATCCCCTGAACAAACAACAGACAATTGACTTTCATCTGCTCCATAATTTACTGCGTCCTGCCTTGTCAAGTCACTAGTCTTTTGTTGTAGCGGTCAGAACTGGAGAATTCACAACCATAAATATCCATATTTACTACGGTAAAAAACATGTTTTTCAAGCATTACCCAACTACCAGTTTTTCCCAAATTGCTTTCCAACATTTTTACCACGTTAATCTCCTACAGCATACTAAAACCCTATGACACTGTCAAGTTGATTTCTGAAGTTCCGATATGTGATCTAAATAATAATTGTAATCAGTTTTGACTTCTTTTTACTACTTTACTGTTTTTAATTTTATTTTTACCGTTATTGTGAAGGCCATAACCACCACAGACATTGAGTAGGACATATCGTAGCAGGGACATATCTAATACCAAGGACCTGCCGAGAAGGAGTTTTCACTTTGTTAGTGAGTAATATAATGAGTGGCCATGTTGGAGACAGAATTTGAAGGTTTTCTGCATATTCGCTGTAGTTGTCATCAGTAGCAGATCCTGATATAGAGCAGCAGTGCTCTCTCCTGCACAGCACTCTCTTCCAGTGATATCACTAATTTAAATGCATGAAAATGCAGACCAACATCTGATATACATCCACTGACATAAAGCATTACATGTCATTGGATTCAAACCCAGGCTTACTTCTAAACTAACTCCCTACTACCTTTTTTAACACGGTGAGTGGTTAAAACATACACATACTTCTGTTAAAAAGTTTGGGGTTCGGTAAGATGTTTAAATGTTTCTCTATCTACTGTTCTCTCTCTTTGAATGTCTCTCTATCTCTTTGATTTCATTTGATCGAAAATACAGCAAATTATTATTACAATTTAAAATAATGTTTTCAATTTTAAGATATTTTAGAATGTAACTTATTCCCATGATGGCAAAGCTGGACCTTCACCAGCCATTACTTCAGTCTTCAGTGTCACACGATCTTTCAGAAATCATTCTTATATGCTAATTTGGTGCTCAAGTAACGCAAATGTGATGCATTTTTTCAGAATTATTTGATAAATCAAGTGCAAAAGTGCAATTATCTGAAGCAGAACACTTTGTAACATTACTGTATCTTTTGATTTAATTGATTTCTTCTCATATTGACTATAATTGCAGGATGGCATCCTATTAATGTCTTTGCAGAAATCTACAATGTCACCACCTGGTGGTCAGTTGTTCATGAAATAACAACAGCAGTGCTGAATGAATCTTCCCAAGGATAGGAAATCTTCATCTCTAATGTATAACCTTTAAGTCTTGCATAAAGAAGATAGAGTTTCTGAGCTACACATCAGTCTCACACCTGGTGTTTTGTCCCGACCTACTGAGTTTGCAAAGCACAAGATATCACATGGTGTTTGTCGATACAGTCAGCTACAGTATGTAATGCATATGATGGATAGAAATTACATCTGTAAATAACAAACAAATAGCTAATGAGCTGCGTGGTTGACATATGTCACAATGGCATGTGAATTATTCAGCAGATGCTTTTCTTATACATTGTGATCTATTCACAGGTGTCATTGAGACCACAATAGATATCTGTGAACTTAAAACAATGCCTATGATAACACAAAACAAAGCGCTGACCATTGATTGCAAACCATAATTAAATTAACTTAATAGTCGTGGTAGATTTTTCTACTGGCGCCCACGACAGCTGTTGATTTACTTAGTCACGTCGATGTAGCCAGACCTGTTGAAATGGAACTGACTTAGATTGGAAGAGACATCAGATTCACTCACAAGCAAGAGCAACAGAGAATCTGTTAGCACCACTGCAACCTAACATCTCAACTCAATCTAGAATCTGATGTATTCTAGAGAAACGTCAGGAAGTTATCCATATATACAACTACACACACTGACGTCTGCATCAGCAGGAGTGTCACACCATTCAGGACACAGAATTTACACGTCATTCAGTGGAGAACAGCTAGTAATGACTGTCAGCCATTCCACCACCACTGAAGGAAGACAGTGGATGGAAACACACCACAGCATTTCTTCAGAAAAAGCGCAGTGGGGGAAAAACTTCACAGACTGAATACTGACAGGTACAGGTAAAAAAAACAGGAGCACTGCATTCCATCAACAAGTTTCTAGAAAATACTGGAACTGGAACTGATAGGATGGACCTCAATCCTGTGTCTGCTCTCTCACTCATATCTCATGAATGTTATAAAGTGTAAATTAGAATACACATTATAATAAATGTAATAAACTAATATTTAAAATGACTTTAATACTGACACAAGAAAATATTAAAACATTATAATTAAAATATCTTATTAATTTATTTATAAACCTGAAGAGAAACATTCAAATCATTGTTTTAAAAATTATTTTTAAAATCTAAAAATTCAAAATAAATACAAACTGTGCTGGGAAGTAGAGACAAACACTTTACTTAAAAAGAAACAAATGAAGTGTTCAAATGCAAAAGCCTCAGAGTGCCATCTGAAATTTTCTTCTAAAATTAGCATTTTTATCAGGCTCCTATGTTTAGGTTCAGTAATTTTACTTTAATGGCAATGTATAGGTCATTTTCTATGCCATTAAAGTGAAATAAATTAACATAAATATAGGAGCCTGATAAAAATGCTCATTTTAGATGAAAATTTCAGACAACACTTAAGAGCCTTTGCATCTGAACTCTTCAAATATACTAAATATATAAAATACAATAAATTATTTACAGCACAAAACCTGCAGTAGGATGGCCTCACCCCTGCTGTTCTCATGTGTAATAATATCTCAAAATACCAGAAAGGCTCAAATTGTCTACACATGCTACTAGACTGTCAAAACAGCATGATTATGAAAACCAGCGTCACAAAGAGTTCAGCCATTATGAGTTATGAGGTCATATATGGTCAGATGGAAATAACATATCTTCTTCAAATTTAAGACTGTAATAATTCTTGTATATGTCTTGATTACATTGTATTTTCTAAAAATAGCCTCTTAAATATATAGAGATGTGTGTCAATAAACCTTTTTTAGCTGATCTGATAGCAAATGTGACCGTGGACCACAAAACCAGTCTTAAAGGGTTAGTTCACCCAAAAATGAAAATTACCCCCAAGTCATCCTAGGTGTATATGACTTTCTTCTTTCAGACGAATCCAGTTGGAGTTATATTAAAAATGGTCTTTGATCTTTCAAGCTGTTTAATGCCACTCAGCGGGTGTTGCATGCATCAGTCCAAAAGAAGTTAAATAAAAAGCGCCCATCCATGAAAAAAGTGTCTCACACGGCTCCGGGGGGGGGCTAAGTTTAGTTTTATTTAGTTTCATTAATGGTTTTGTTAGTTTTAGTTTAGTTTTTATTTTGTGAACACATTTTTATTTAGTTTTTATATATTTTAGTTTCAGTTTTAGTTTTAGTAATTATAGTTTAGCAGAGTTAACGGAACACTTCCAGTGTATACCAAAGCAAGACATTTAATTTTAGCAAAGTTGTACTCTTGTGCAAACCTCTTAATAATGAAAATAAATTAATTGTTTACAATTGAACAAAAACCCAAAATATGCAACTTATGTAAAGGTTTTCAGAGGTACTATAAAGCTACAGGCAGCTGAGTTTTTATCAGGGTTGGAGCTAAATTCTGCAGGACAATGACCCCTCCAGTGCTGGATTTGAGGAAATCTGTTCCTTGTAATCGTCCTTGAAATTCTGTAAACAACAAATTTGTTGGATCTTCTGCAGACGAGCAACGCAATCATACCAGTTCTAAAGCTACACAGGACATGGCAAGCTGTCAAATCACCATGCGGCTGCCGCTTTCTCTCATTTTGGATGCGTTTTGTACAGTCAAAGCGGTGCTCGTGTCATGGACTCGAGGCGGACGTTGCCATAGTATTCGTAAAGCGTGACAAAATGACTATTCACTGAAGTCAGCTCATCCAAAAATTGTAATTATGTGTCTGTTAACTTACTCTCATGTTGTTCTCGCACGTCAAACACGCTTTTAAACGTCCGTGCGCTGTAAGGTGTGCATTATTATTATTTCCCATTTCATAGTTATTTCCCATTTAATTTCCCACGTCTTGTTTTTAAAATTGCAAAAACGCATCCTCTGTGAATAGCCGCTTAGGATTCAGCTCACGTGCATGAAGCGCCATCTACAGGTATTTCCCTAAACAACCACAAGTCCGATTTTCTGGCATAGAATGAGAGCTTATTAAATCACGAACACGATTACTTATTTTTGCTAATTGTTATTTTATTTTAGTTAGTTTTTCCATTACTGTTGTTAGTTTCGTTTAGTTTGAGTTTTTCATTTATTTTGAATTTTTATTTTTATTTCAGTTTATGAAAATGTTTTTTGACCAATAGTTTTAGTGTTAGTTTCAGTTTTCGTTTATGAAAATAACCTTGGGGTGAACAAAGGCCTCCTGTAGCGAATCGATGCGTTTTTGTAAGAAAAATATCCATATTCAAAAATAATAATCACTTTAATGTAGCTTGCGCCAACAGTTGTACACGGAAGCAGCCCCGGGCGGATGACGTATGAGTTCAGCGTTGCGCATGTGCCGGTGAGTCTCGTGAAAACCAACGTTTGTTAACAGGAGCAAAGGAAGCAAAGTTTCCTTACTTTAGCAAAGGAAAACCAGTCTCCTCTTGGCTTATATCGAAATCCTCTGACATTCTTCTTTCATTTTCCATTACCCATACTTGCAAAGTTTGGTGCAAAAACAAAATGAAAATTAAATTATATAATTTACATTTGCCATTTCCAACAGTAGTCTTAATATGTACATTGCATGCAAATTTGAACGCTTTATAAGTTGCGAAATTAAAATGAAAATGTATAACACAAATTGATTTGATATGTGTAGCATGTCCAAGCAGAAATGGTAGCACAATGATCATTTAAATGCTATTTGTCCTAAATGAATTTAGACTAACAGTTAGAACACTTGGGATTGCATTTTCATCATGACGCCGTGAGATATTTGTAGCAAAATTCAGTGCGGCTTTGAAAATGCATTCCGAGCTGACCACGCCCACCCTCCATCAATCATTGCTTCAAGGCAGGGATTGGCGGAAGCTTGGTACGTTTGGATCGTTTGAAACATGGCGGCTGGAGATCTGATAAGATCGTTGAATTCACTGGCAGATGAAGTGGAGCGTGAACAGAGAAATATATGAAGC